GCCATCAGGCAAAAAAAAAAAAAAAAAGTCAGTTGGCAAATCACCACAAATTAATTTTTTTCATGAAACATGTCAAGCTAATGATTAAATTCATATGAAATAAAGGTACAAAAGTATTCAAGAAAAATTTAAAAAAGGGGAGATTTGCCTTGTGTCAAAATATACTATAAAACCATAGTAAAGTAAGAGATTAGCACATAAAGGGACAGATAAATGGAACAGAGTTCAGAAACAGACTCATATATGGAAATAAGCAAAATCCATAAAAGAAAAAATGAATAAAATGGACAACATAATTTCAAAGATAACCAAACACAGACACACACATATACACTACATAAACAAAATTAACAGACTAGCAGTAAACTGAGAGAAAATACTTACATATAGTGGACAATTAGTATACACACTATACTTTTTAAATGCTAATAAGTCATATAGAGATGCTTAATCTTATTACTAGTTATCAGGGTAATACACATTAAAGTGAAATTTCATTCATCCATCAGACTGACCAAAGTTTAAATCTTGATAATATCAAGTGTTGACAGAGGGAAAAGCAGTATTCTCATACACTACCGATGGGAATGGAAATTAGTTCAGCCATCCTGGAGGACAATTTGGAAGTGTCTATTAAAATTAAAAATGAACAGAACTTATGATTCAGCACCCACTTCTCAATATTTACTCTTTTTTCTTTTTTTTCCTTTTTGTCTTTTTTCGTGACCGGTAATGGGATCGCAACCCTCGGTGTTGTGCCCGCACCGCGCTCAACCAGTGAGCGGACCAGTCTCTATATGGGATCCGAACCCTCGGCGGGAGCGCCGCACTCTACCAAGTGCGCCACCGGGCCGGCTCCTCAATATTTACTCTTGAAAAACTCATACAAATTTGCAGAAACATACAACTGGAACACCACTTGTAACAACAACAAAAAAACAGAAGTAACCTAAATGTTTTATAACAGAAAAACTGCCAAAAAGCCACTCTATGAAAGAACACACAGCAGATTAAAAGAACACAATAGACCAATACTTATTAACAAGAAAAGTTCTCCAAAACATAACCTGGAATTTAAAAGGTTGCAAAATGTGGACCTTATGAAAAACATGTTCACATTTCTGTATTTTGCCCTGCCAAAAAAAGGTATGTTATCTTCAACTGGAAATATTTAATGCTCTTGGAAAAGGATAAGAATTGTTATTGTATAGATATGCTATTAAAGAAAGGTTTAAAAAAATCAACATATATAATCCAATTTGTACTGGGCTCTTTTCAGAAAAACTTGCGAGTCATCAGTTCACCATTGGGCTAAACTGAGCAGTCAAACCCAAGTTTACATTACAGGTACAAGAAATGAGTTAAATGCTCCAATTATACTTTTATCCCATGTTTGCCTGAGTTCGAACGCCAGTGTCAATCCTGGAAAAGTCAGCCATTTAGTTTCCTGGTACTGAATTAAGTACTCTAATCAAATCACAACTTTCAAGGGGCGTATTAACTAATAAAGCAGAACTAGTGCTTTTGTCTTTGAGTACAAAAGAAATCAAGCAAAATAATCCCTTTAAATTATGACAATGTAATAAATTCAAAGTAAGAGCACTGAAGGACAATAATCCACTTGGTCTTAAAAAAAAATCCTCAATAAACTGAAGAATCATAGGCGAATATGTGAAAGAAAAGTCCAGTGGTGATTCGTACACATTTAGTGAAAGGAAATGAAGAGTTGCTCTACCCCGAGTAGATACAAAGGCACAGGTTCTTAGGTTGCTGATTGAAGTGCTGAACTTAGAAAATGCTGGGGACAGAAGCAAAGATGGTTTTGGTTGTGAACTGTCACACTCAAAGCCTCAATGAATTATTAGCAATCTTTTATCACTTTGAACTGGTCGCTTCTCCTCTTCCATAAGACAGACGTTCAGGATTCAGCAGCATGGGTTCCAAGATGCGCTTGCATCAACAGCTCTCCTCAACTGTTCTTCAGTCTGGCTGCATGGTACCCCACACGGCAAAAATACCAAGACGATCACCTCATTCTGTCTTTCCAAATTTCAAAAGAAAAAAAAATTAACGCCCCCTACCCTGGTCACCCTGCATTTCCGGGGGTCACTTTTAGTTTTAGCCTCGTTCCTGGCACTCCCACACCATTACTAACTCTGCGATCACCAACTCTGACTAGGGGCTATGCCTCAAGAGCCACTTTAAAAGAGGCTGTCTCCATATATTTTACAGAACACGCCATGTACATGGTGGTGTAGGGAAACAATTTTATAACCCAGACATATTCAATAAGAAATGTCAGTGCTTTCCTACATCAAGAAGTCTGAAAGATTTTAACTCAGCAGGGTAATTCACAGCAAAAACTAATCAGCCAGGAACAATCTGTTATTTTTTAACGAGATAAACAGAAAAGATCATCTAAAACATTTCTTCTTGTCCTACCCAAATGAAGAAATACTGTACTAATACTTCAGAGACTGACTACATTAATGAAACATCAACAAGTTACAGATAAACATTTTAATTGATTAAATATATTATTTTCAAGATCTTTTTGAAATCGCACTTGTACTGTACTAGTATCAACAGCCAAAGGCAATAAAAAAGTTTAAAACCAAAAATGTTCTGACATGAACACGTGACAGGAACCGCTGCTATGTGAAGTAACATATACTGCTCCCAAGAACAATATTTTTAGGAGATAATTCACCTTAACATGTGCAAGGACAAATCTGTAATCGAAGGCTAGAAGAAATATATATTAGTGCCTGCTTCTTAAAAGTTTATTTTACATTTTAAATATTTTTCTCATTAAAAAAAAAAATAGCCGGGAAGTGCCTAACTCCGTGGTTTCTATATCATATGTACATGAGAGCTGACAAATGTTCTGGATCTAACGGTGTGGATATCTATGAGCTAGAACTACTTCTGAATCAAAATTAAAAAATATGAATTAAGCACTGCTTAGGAGAAAACAATCCAGTTTCTGAACAACTAAAAGAGAACAGAATTAGATACGTACAAAACCAAGTATTAAAATACAAATGCAACAGACAAAAAACTCAAACAGCCCATATGTAGTGAACTGTGTACTGCAGCTAATCAATGGAAACCATCCTACAAGTGACTATGAACTGAAATTTTAAAAAACTAAGTATTTCAGTAACAACATATAACAACAACATTAAGTGTATATTGCCGTCTTACCACTCTCCCTTCCGAAAACAAGAATCTCTTGAAGCCAATCACTTACACAAATTTGAGGCAATTAATCCACATTTGTTTTCAGCATGGAAAAGATTTACCTCTTCCCATTAATAAAGACATAATACAGATTAAAGCTGTAAGATTTAAGCAAGGGCATATGCATTTCCAGTTCTCTGATAAGTAATTCCAAACTGGAATCATGTAGGGTTTATGCCTCAGCAGTACCAGATCAAAAGAAAATGGTCTGTCTCTGGCAGTAATTTCCACATTAGTGCAATGTTACTCCCCATACACTGAATAATATTTAAATGATTTTATATATTTTAATCCAGTAGGTACCAATTTGAGTTTACAAAATCCCTAACTATATGCTCTGCACAAAAGTTTGAATTGAGATGCTCTATAAAGCCAAATCAAACAAAAATTAATTAATTTTATTTTGCTAGTGATAGTATGAACACCAAACGAAGACAAAGGACTGAGAGTTTGCGGAGGCTCACAAAGGAGGACGTTTGAGGTGTTCTACGTATCTTGATACTTTGTCAATTGGGGTTGAACATTCTAGTTTAAGATGATCTCAGAATATAATTATCTGTAATATAACTCTGAACTCAACAACTGCATCCAAAGTAAAAATAGTTGGGTCATTCAGGACAAGATCAAATTGACGCAATTTCTTTTTCTATTATAATTTATGAGGTCTTAAGTTTTAAAAACAGTGGCTTTCAATCAAAGCCAGCTGCACCTGATGTAGACTATTAGCGTAAGGATTTCAAATTAGAGAGCATTGTGACTATGGGCTCTCATAAAACATGTGGAGCAGGCAGTAATGGGCTAACCAGCAGCCAGGCAGGTCAACACTGGGATGTTTTATTTTGGAGACTTTACATATTTAACACATAGTTCATGTAACTTCAGCATCCACTGGTAACTCTGCTGGTCAGCACCTCTCCCTTCCGAAAACAAGAATCTCTTGAAGCCAATCACTTACACAAATTTGAGGCAATTAATCCACATTTGTTTTCAGCATGGAAAAGATTTACCTCTTCCCATTAATAAAGACATAATACAGATTAAAGCTGTAAGATTTAAGCAAGGGCATATGCATTTCCAGTTCTCTGATAAGTAATTCCAAACTGGAATCATGTAGGGTTTATGCCTCAGCAGTACCAGATCAAAAGAAAATGGTCTGTCTCTGGCAGTAATTTCCACATTAGTGCAATGTTACTCCCCATACACTGAATAATATTTAAATGATTTTATATATTTTAATCCAGTAGGTACCAATTTGAGTTTACAAAATCCCTAACTATATGCTCTGCACAAAAGTTTGAATTGAGATGCTCTATAAAGCCAAATCAAACAAAAATTAATTAATTTTATTTTGCTAGTGATAGTATGAACACCAAACGAAGACAAAGGACTGAGAGTTTGCGGAGGCTCACTAAGGAGGACGTTTGAGGTGTTCTACGTATCTTGATACTTTGTCAATTGGGGTTGAACATTCTAGTTTAAGATGATCTCAGAATATAATTATCTGTAATATAACTCTGAACTCAACAACTGCATCCAAAGTAAAAATAGTTGGGTCATTCAGGACAAGATCAAATTGACGCAATTTCTTTTTCTATTATAATTTATGAGGTCTTAAGTTTTAAAAACAGTGGCTTTCAATCAAAGCCAGCTGCACCTGATGTAGACTATTAGCGTAAGGATTTCAAATTAGAGAGCATTGTGACTATGGGCTCTCATAAAACATGTGGAGCAGGCAGTAATGGGCTAACCAGCAGCCAGGCAGGTCAACACTGGGATGTTTTATTTTGGAGACTTTACATATTTAACACATAGTTCATGTAACTTCAGCATCCACTGGTAACTCTGCTGGTCAGCACCCAAGGGCTGGATGAGTCTGAGGAATCCCTTTTGACCCCAAAGTATTAATGCTAAAGAGTCTCAGGGAAATTCTGATTCCCAAAAAGAGTTCACAAACTATCAGACCAAAATCAACAGTGTAAGCACTGACTCCAGTGCTCCACAACAGTCAAAAGAAATTTCCAAATTAAATGCCATCTTCTGCCCAACCCTAGACTCCAGATTCTGTAACAACATCTTTATCTAGTATAATAGACTCTGTAGTAGACGGATTTTGACCTCCACAAAGAGTAGGAGTTGTCAAATTTGAGGAGATAGACTCCTCTCCCTGGGTATTGGTGGCTGCCGGCATACACTTCCTCATGACAGTCCCGTCGGTACACAGGCACAATCTCATCCAGCAGAGGTTTGCTGGCATTCTTTTTGGCTTTCTCTTCACAAGTGGTGTTTTCTATGAGAAATAATGGAAACAAGTCAATGAACAGATCCTGGGAACCACATTTGAATCAAGCATTCAAACTCTATCCTTTCTTTGAGAAATTGCTTGTTAGGAATTCTCTTGAAACATTCTACAACTTATACGCATGTGAGCATGTATTCACTCGTTCCTTCATCCAAATTCCTGAGCACTGGCTATGTACCAAGCACTGTTCCGGGCTCTGGGAGCCCAGTGGTGAACACCTGGTGGTGGTAGCAGGCACCTACTTCTGGCCCCCATTTTTCTCCTTCCGTATCCATTCAATTCCTAATTCCTTCCCAATAGGAGCAATCTTGCTCATCTCTGAGTAGGATCAAGCAAAATGTTGCTCTGATGGGTCCTCCCCATTCTAGGAAGAGAAAGGTAGCTTATGAGGACTATTTCTGTCATCTTAAATATGAGGGTACTTCAAAAAGTTCATGGAAAGATTCTTATTATCTTTTAATTCTATTATTCCATGAACTTTCTGAAGTACTCTCCTATAAAGAGTAAAGTGAAAACGCCACAGTAGAGAGGCAGGCATTCAGAAACACCGTGAATGTTCAATTATTTTCATTAATAGGCAGAAAAACCAAACCAACAACAACAACAAAAAAAAAAATGGACTCTTCTTCCATTTGCAATCAAGCCAGGACTACTCATAAAATGCACATTAGGGACAAGACATGGTGGTGGCAGAGTAGCCTCCTACGGCATATGGACAAATGTACTTTATAAACTAAGTTTTCAAATGGGATGAACTTATGCTCACTCTTAGCAAACAATTCTTGGGAGCAATAAACCCTCACTGTTGTTCCTATTAACACAGAGGTTTTGATGGACTAGTTTTAGTTGCAAATCATTTTATGATTAGGAATGATACAAGGGGAGGTAATGCTATCTTCCATTTCAGGGACATATTTTAGAGCTAAGATCAAGGATACCAAGGTTCTCACCTATAGAAATGGACTCAGCCACTTTCACCAGTGTTCTTCCCAACATCAATAACCCAAAAACTATCACCAGCTAAGGGCTCAGACTAGGAAGAAATCTCCTTTTAGAAGCTCCTAGCAGGCAAGCCAGGAGGGACACATTACCTCAAGCAACTTCTCAACAGAGAATCCTTCTAAATTATTCACAAAGCTCTTTATAAGTACAGTAATTTGCACACACACACAAAACCTTCCTTCCTAGACATTGCACAGAGTCTGATTTTAATGAATCCCTGTGATGCATGAGCACGGTCAGTGCAGGGCTTAGGCCTCTGGTTGTGATGTTGCCGAGGGGCACCTGAGACAACAGAAGTCACACCTGGCTCAGCTCCCTCTCACCTCTTCTTGGTTGTTTTCACTCTTGTATTTTTACTCTCTGGTTCAGTCAGTAGTACTTATGGGCAATGCTTTACCTTGCTGGTGGTAATCAGAATAAAGACTGCTGAAAACAAAATGCCATGTAAGACAAAGCAGCTCATGCTTCCAGATTTACCAGCTCAAACCTGGCCCTGCAGCATAATGAAGCATTTCAAATCTGCTTCTGGGGTGAGAGTCGATTTGCAAGATGTACTGGAATTTCTGGGCCCCTCTGATGGTTCATGAAGATAATGGTAGAAGAATAAAAATGGTCATTGGAGCTGAACAACTGACTGATTAGTATTAAATTAAATATTAACTGGTAAACTGAATATTAAATTAAACTTAAGTTGAAGAAATGCTATGGCACACCTGCTGTGTGTTTCCATACATGACTCCAGAGGCCCCAGAGTGTGGCACGGTGTGATAATGACTGAACAACCACATACCTCAAAAGTTGACTGAACTTTTAAATTTTAAGATCACTCCATGCACTTCCAACAATACCTCTCTAAATGTATCACAATACAATCCTTATGAAACATTACCAGTCCTCTTCAAGAACAAGCAGTCTGTTTACAAGTCACCTGAAAGGTCAGTTAGTTCCTGCTACAGTTTGAATGTCCCCCCAGAACTCACTGAAGCTTGATCCCCAATGTAACAGTGTTAGGAAGGTGGGAAATCCGATTATGGCATTTGATTGGATCCTGAGGACTATGCCCTTATGAACAGATTAATCCAGTCAAGAGTAATGGGTTGTCAGGGAGTAGACTAGGGGCTTTATAAGGAGAACAAGTGAGCACATCAGTGTGCGTTCTCACCCAGCCCACATTATGTGACACCCTGCATCTCCACAAGACTGTACCAAGATGGTGGCCATCACCAGATGTGGCCCCCAGACCTTGGACTTTCCAGCCTCCAGAAGTGTTAAGAAATAAATTCTATTTCTTTATACATTACCCAGTTCCATGTATTCTGTTATAAGCAACAGAAAACGGACTAGTACAGTCCCAAAGAACTGAAACATGGTGTTCTTCCATTCTCACACTCACGACACTCCTTCCATATGACTATCAATCAAGCCAACAAATAATTTAAGTGCTTACTAGGTGTGTACAAATGCCCCAAGTTCTAACTTTTCTGTGCAACAACAAGCACTACATTTTATAACCTGTTTTCTAGACCAAAATAGTTTGGGCTGTCCTTGAAAACACCCAATTTGTCTACTTATTCAGAGAAAATTAAAAATTACACTTTAGTAAAATAGGGACTACCAAAGGGAAGAACAACTGAAATTTTTTAGGTGGGCTGTCCTGGTGAGTTTCAGTATTTACATAAAAATTCTGAGAAGAATGACCTAAAAAGCTAATATCAGAAATAAAAATTCATGTTTAGGGCCCACTCTCCTACAAGAGGTAAGCCTTTCTCACAACCTTTTTGGCTCAATGCCCTGCTAATGAAGAGCTTGTTCCCTTCATCCGGAAGCCTAAGAATGGCTGACAGGAAGCCCCTGGGGACCTGAAGATAGCTGGCTGTGGGCCCACCAACCAGACCAGCAACAGAGCCGGCTGTGGGCCCACCAACCAGACCAGCAACAGAGCCAGCTGTGGGCCAGACCTGCCCCGCCCCCGCCAACATCTTAGAATGTACTTATTAAAAAAAAAAGAATGGCTGACATCTGAGCTGTGTACCATCTGTGCGAACACACAACCCAGCAGATACTGAATACAGACCAATGGCTCTACCTTCCTCCTCCTCGTCGTCGTCACTGGACTCACTGACATGCACGCTGACAGCAGTGTTTGGAGAGTCTGTCCATTCAAAATACACCCCAAACCCAATGTCATAATTGTCTGTTGCAAATTCCCAAAAGAGATACGATCCTTCTTCGTGAGTGGGTACTCGAACGGTGACCACTTCTCCTCTGCCCACTGTAATCACCGAATCTGCATCCTGCCGAATCTTCTCTTTAAAGTCTTTGATCTGGGGTCGCGTCCACATGGAAGGAGCTGCTATTACTGGAAGAGATTCTAAAAACAACAGAAATTACAAAAGCTAAAGAGAAAAAGCCTTCACCGTTCAGGTGGCAACATTTGCATAGGACCACCTACCCAGTCACACTCAGGCACCAAGTGCAATATGATCTAGCTCAAACCAAGGACTTGAAGGGATATAGAAGCCTTATCGTGGAAGTCTCACCTCAAAGTCTCACCCCAGATGACTACACTTAATATCACATGTATTCAGAGGTCATCATACTACATCAAGCAACAAATGTAATCCACAATCTTATAAGTGATTTTTTTTTCAACACTCTAATTACATATGAGGATTTAAGAACAACCTTGGAAACTCTCTTAACTGTAGCCAAGGAAACATTTTAGCAAGGAAGAGAGATTGGGACCTAGGAATAAGTTACTCTTTTGGATGTGAACAAAGAAAACAGGGCTTTGACAGTCTATTTGCTGAAAAAAAAGTGTTGATCTCTGAGTATCCCAAAGCTCTAGAGGCAATTCTAAAGGAGCTCAAAGAAAAACTGAGACAAGATTAGAACCATTAAGGACTGAGAAAAGGGGATGAAGTCTTGTTACTGAGCAGTATCTACGAGCACTGGACTACTTAGATTTTCCAGTTAGTCACAGAGCCTTTGACAAAAGATTTTCTCTCATTTGAAATTACTGGCATAAACTCTTGATAAGAAAAAAGGGAGAGGTCAAGGGTTCAGACCCCTGTACCTGCTAGCAGCCAAAAGAAAAAAAAGGAAGGGGGTGTAAACCAAGGGATTTTCAAGGTCTTTTCTGAGGCTATTTTCTGTCACTTGTTCTAAAAAGACAAGGAGGATCTCTGAAATCAAATTTCTTATGAACCACACCAGCATCCCTGACTATGGTCATGTCACTGAAATGCTCTTCTATGCCTTCTTACTTAGTTAACTCCTATTCTTGCTTCAGATCTCTCAACTCAACTGTCCCTCAGGAAAGCCTCTGGCGACCTCCGACTAGGTCACACTCCTCCATCACACTCTCTCAAACTATAACGTGCCTCTCCTCTCTCTATCGTAGTACTTACCACAGCTATAATTTACATTTTATGTACGTTATTTTGCCTCACCTCTGTTTTCCAGAGCCCCTAGCTCTCAAAAAACCTTCAACCAATTGTTGAATTAATGAATGAGCTGCCCATGGAAAGCTAGTAGAGCTTTGAAAATGCTACATCATCTTCTGGGCAACATGGTACTTTAGTCTCAAAAAATACATTGTAATATACGGTAGCCAGCCTCCAAGAAGGCCCCCTGTTACCCTCATCTCCAGGTCTTCATGCACTTGTTAGGTCACCCACCACTCACAATATTTCAGGGATGGTATATGTGACCAGCAGAATACAGCAGAAGTGCTGATGTATAACTTCCAAAGTCAGGGCAGAAAAGACACTGCCACTTCAGCCTTATTCTTTTTCAGATGGTGTGTTAAAGACACTCAAGCAGCCCTATGGAGAGGCTTCATGGGGCAAGGAACTTAGGCCTCCTCCCAGCAGCCAGCACCAACCTGCCAGCCATGCAAGGGAACCATTTTGGAAGCAGATCCTCTAGTCCCAGTCAGGGCTTCACAAGACTACTGCCCCAGTCAACATCTCAACTGCAACCTGATAGACCCTGAGCCAGAACCATCCAGCTAAACTGCTCCTGAATTCCTGACCCACAGAAACTGTGCAAGATAATAAATGTTTATTGTAATTTTAACCTGCTGAATTTGGGTGTAACTTGTTATACACAGTAATAGATAACTGATATATATAATAAGACAAAAGATATATTTTGTCTTAAAAGTGTTCAAAAGAGATCTGATTAGCTCTTCTACACTATTCTAAGGGTCACCAGAAGCATCGGTTTCAGACTAAAAAGAGTGAAAAAGTGTTCAACTGCTGCAAACATGTAATTGCTCTCAAAAGCTAGTTAACCTGACTTCTTGGGTTTTGTTTTTCATGGAGTATGAATCATGACATCTGGATGGATGAACACATATGGTAAACCATACCTTTTGGTCCATTCTCCAAGGCTTCTTCTGCGGCTTCTTGTTCAAGTTCTTTTTCAGAGTTATCAGTGTGGGTTTTGGTCTGTCCATTAACTGACGTCATATCACTTGGTACAGCTGCATTCACTTTTGATGATGTAGCCAAAGAAGCCCCAGCCACTACTACTTCCTGCTGTTTCTGTAATGCTGCCTACAAGTTGAAAGAAAGTGAAGACACACTGACCAGAAAGGCTAGCCAATGGGACATTTGCAGTGGACTGCATTCTGACCTCATGCTTTTGCCCCACCAAAGAGCTGTTCAAGAAATTACTAACAATCTTTTATCAGTTTTTATCCTGTGTACAATGAATATTAGTAGTACAATATCAAACTGACACCTAAAAATGATAAAAATTAATGTGGACAAAAAACTCTAAGAATCACATTTCTGTTATCTGAGAATCACTAGAATAACCAATCAGGAAAAATTAAATTAGGTAGAAAATAATCAACCTAAAATAAAACTACTAAAGGCAAAAATTGAACACAGTAACATGTATTCTTAAAATTGAAGAAAATCCTTATAAAATTCAATACATAGAATTTGTCACTTTATATGATCATGATTAAAATGTGTATATTCATATGTACGAAATTAAAAATATCCTCTGAGTCAAAATGGGAGAATAAAAACATCTTTAACCCAAAGAACAACTATTTTTTTTTTTTTTTTGTCCTTTTTGAGACCAGTCGCACCGCACTCAGCCAGTGAGTGCACCAGTCATCCCTATATAGGATCCGAACCTGTGGCGGGAGCACTGCTGTGCTCCCAGCGCCGCATGCTCCCGAGTGCGCCACGGGCACGGCCCAAAGAACAACTATTTGGGACAGTCCTTTTCTGAGTCAAGATGGACAGATATTATTTGAAATACCTAAGTATTACTTAAGTAACTTTGGGGGGAACTTTAAATTGGATTTTAACATACATATATAAAAGTGCACAAATCATAAATTATACAGCTTGATCAATTTTCATAAATCAAACATGTCCATGTAACCAACACCCAGAGCAAGATACCTGCATCCTAGAATCCTCCCTAATACCCCTTTTCCTGGAACCTCCCCCCAAGGCTAACAAACTATTCTGACTTATAATACTACAGACTTGCTTTGCCTGTTTTTGAACTTTATATAAATGGATTGTATAGTATAAGCTGTTTTTTTTTGTTGTTGTTGTTTTTTTTTAAAGATGACCGGTAAGGGGATCTTAACCCTTGACTTGGTGTTGTCAGCACCACGCTCAGCCAGTGAGCAAACTGGCCATCCCTATATGGGATCCGAACCCAGGGCCTTGGTGTTATCAGCACCGCACTCTACCAAGTGAGCCACAGGCCGGCCCTAAGCTGTTTTTTTATATCTGGCTTCTTTCACTCAACATCACTTTTGTAAGACTCATCTATAGGGTCATAAGTAATTGTATTTTGTTGTTTACATTGCTATAGGATATTCCATCGTGAAAATATAAAATTTATTTATCCATTCTACTATTGATGAGCATTTTGGCATATTAATAACGTTTTAATCTAAAACACTAAGTCAAGCATACGTTCACTGCAGGAAAAAAAATGTATATATACATATGTATATGGGAAAAAGTCATTCTAATCCTATGGTTTAGGGATAATGACATACTTGGCACATCTGTGAACACGTTTCATTTAATACATCATTTATAAGGCAATTACTTTTTTTTTTTTTGGCGGATGGTCAGTATAGAGATCCAAACCCATGACCTTGGGGTTATAAGGCTGCGCTCTAACCAACTAAGCTAACCGGCCAGCCAAGCCAATTACTTAAACGAACAGCTACACTTCTCTCTGTTGCTAGTGCAGGCTAGTAACACACCTAAGATTTTTTTTTTTTCCTTTTTGTCTTTTTTTGGTGACCGGTAACGGGACCGCAACCCTCGGTGTTGCGCCCATACCACAACAGGCAACGGGATCACAACCTTCGGTGTCGTGCCCGCACCGCGCTCAACCAGTGAGCGGACCGGTCTCTATATGGGATCCGAACCCTCGGCGGGAGCGCCACCGCACTCCCAAGCACCGCACTCTACGGAGTGCGCCACTGGGCCGGCCCCACACCTAAGATTTTAAAATACCTTCTTCCAAGGCCTAAATTCTAATTTCTATATTAGTTTTCTAGGAGTACCAGTTTCCAGAAAAAATGCACACAACCAAAACAAGTCAGCACGCTCAGAAACATTCACTGCATGACAGGAAAGCAAAAAAAAAAAAAAAAAGCATTTTTGCTGATGATCAATAGTCCCAGCTCAAATGGTCCCTTCTCCACTAGGCCTTTCTTGAAACTAGGGGAATGAACAACTCCCTTCTCTGGGATACCACTGCCCATGAATATATATCTATTACATATAACAGATTGTTAATTATTTATTTACATAGTCTCTCTTCTATACTTTAGAAGTTTTAAAAAGCACAGAAAGGTACAGGAACAATGTAACAAACACCCACACATGTAACTACACCCCAAAATTAACAAGTATTCCCATTATCATTTTGCTCAGTATTTATATAAAACTTAATACTTTATAGGGCTGAAGTTCCCTCTGTTCCTTCCCTAGTCCCTATCCTTCTCTCTTCCAGAGGCAACCAATTGATTTGATAAACTGAGTTTGATCATTCTAATCGCAATTATGGCTTTCTACATCCATTTCAAAGATTCTTGGTTTTGCTCTACTCTACTTTCTTCTCATTAAGTGAAAGAACCTATAAACAGGACAGTGTTTATGAGCTATCCATTAAAAAATTATCTGAATGTCTATCAAAGAAGCAGAAAGAGGGAAGTGAAACGCTAAAGTAGAAACAGGCTTTAGAGGGCAGAGAAGAAATCCCTCAAAAATACCACTAATTATCTTGAATAAACACTGGTTTGTCATCTTCCTCCTATTAAGGATTATACAAAACCTGCAGTGCTTTTTACCTTCACCCTGATGCTGAAGACTCAGGGGGAAAGGTACTATAGGTAAGAATACATATTTTCAAGGAATTTAAAGAATTTGGGAAAAAACAACACAGGATTACATCATGTAATAAGAAATGCTGAATAACTATACTGTCCTATATTTGGGGGTAGGGAGTTTGAGGAAGAATAACAATGTATTGTCGCAAGCACTGCTAGCTACAGTGCCTAACATAAAAGTCAAGGCAGACACGATGTAGCTCTGCAGAAGTAGCCTATGGCCTTAGGGCAGGGAGTCCTCCCACTGGAAGCTCTGACAGTGCACTGCCTAAAGGACGCCCTTGAACTAAGGCTAGTTACCCAGGTCCTCACAGTTCCAGGACAACTATTAAGGTCTATGCCAAACTCATTGTAACGACACTCAGTCCACACAACTCTCAAATACCTTTATGACAGTATAACAAACAAAATAACATTTGTTGTTTCAATAGCAAATTACTCTCGTAATTGCCAGTGCAATGCTAGTCTTCCTAAAAAATCACCTAAAAGTTAATTTTATACCTTAGCAGCTAACTAATGCAAAATTCATTGGCAACTGTTAAAAAAAGAACTTGGGTTCCAATGAAACTAAAAACCCTCTCTAAGGCTGAATTCTGGGGTTGTCTATCGTACCTGTTGCTGTGCAAGCTGGACTTGGTACAACTGCTGCATATACTGCTGATAGTGCTGCTCCTGCAACTGGCGGATGAGAATTTGCTGTTGTTCGTAGTTCCCTGGATACTGCTGGGCCGCGTACTGCTGGAACTGCACGGCAGTCTGCGAGTTTAAAGCTGCCATTATCTGCTGCCTAAAAACATTAAAAAATATATACTAGTCTGACTACAGGAGATTGTTCACGACAAAATAAAATGTCCTTGTTATTTAGTTTTTAACTCTTAAAAATGACTAAGCTAGTAATGTATACCAATCAGCATGTGTCCCAAGCCCAGAAAAAAGATCGAATAAAATAAACCTGGCCTCTAATTTTTTACTTAGCTTTCTCAAAAAAACTCAGAATGGAGAATAATAAGCATATCATCATGACCACCATCACCACCACATGCTAATATTTACTGTGCCCTTACTATGTGCCATGCAGTGTTGACAGCACTTCCATGTAACCCATTTAGTCCTCACAACAACCCTTTGAGGTTCATAAGGTTCAGCAACTTGCTAGTAGATGCCAGAGCCAGGACTCAAATCCAGGCAGTCTGGCTCCAGAGCTCTCCCAATGAACCATGATACTATACAATGATGGACTGTCACGTAAGGCAGAGATGAGGTATTTAACTGTTGGCTACAGCTTCTCTACCTAAATACATGAAAAACAGTAAGAGGCAGAAGAATAGCTAAAAGGTGTTACAGGTGGCCCTGGTGAGTATAAATAAAAGCCAGTGAAAATTTGAGGGTCCACAGCTTTTATTTTAAAGTCTGCCTTAAAGAGAAAACACTGAAATGACTAGACGTATGTGGTTTGGAACTACTAATTTCTATATACTATTACAATTCTCTTTTATTTTCTTTCATAGAGAATCCACATACCTCTTAACTCAGTTATGCTACCAACTTAACAAAGACTTCAAAGCTATCTATTAATAGATAACAAAGCAAAATCTCACAGACTTCTAAATACAGCACAACGCTGGGTCCACCAAGGGCACCCCCCACACCAAAAGAACATTCAGTAGAATGAGGCCCTAGATCAGTTTGAGGCTAGAACTGAAGCTTTTTCTGCAGACACCCAGAAATAATGAGAACTCAATGGACCCACATGTTCTCTGGTTTAACCTGCATGCCATGCCAGCCTAGAACGCTAGGCTTTCTTTCCAGCATTTTATTGGTGTTAATCACTTCCTCTTTGTACCCACAGCTCCCTCTTGAAGAACCAGTTCCTTCTGAGATAGCTGTTCTCGCAGCCCTTACTGAAAGAAGTAGTTTCAGCCTCCAAGTCCTGGACTAGGGACGAACACCTGACATAGACTGGCCAACTAGATCCTCTGTCCTAGGAATTTGTAACTGGGTCTCACAGACTTCAGCCAGTCTCTGTTGGATGCATGGAAACATACACCACACAAATCCAGGCTGGGACAGCCTTGCATATGCCAAAGCAGACAGTGACAATTTGCAGAGAGGAGAACGAAGCAGAGACATAAGCTGGGAGAAGAAAAGGCAAGAGATCACGTGGACTCACAGACAGAAAACAACTGACCGACCTCAACTCCTGCTTCTAGTCCCTGGGTTCTGAAAGCTAATCCCAAATCCTTCTAATACATTCCTCTTTTTGCAACCAACTGATGCTTAAGGCAAGGCCCTCTTTAGTAACAGATCACTGGTAAAAATGGCAAGTAGCTAATACTGGTCTACCTCCTAGTCATACAAATCACAGAATTATTCTAAGGCATGCAATGGTAAAAACTCAAGTCACAACAGTGTAGTAGGCCATTTATCATTTTAAAATAAAAGCCACACAACAAACTTACTTTTGCTGCTCCAACCGAAGCCTTTCTTCTTCTATTCGTCGCCTCTCTTCTTCCTCCCGTCGCAGCCTTTCCTCCTCCTCTTTCCTACGTCTCTCCTCCTCCTTTTGCAGACGTTCTCTTTCTTCCTCTTCACGCCGCCTTCGCTCCTCCTCCTCCTTCCTACAAGGTAAAGGACAGAGAAAATGATCTCTATACAATGACTCCTGTTCAAAAATAACAACACTCCATACCCCAGCGAAAAGTGACACAACCTTTTTAGAGAAAAATGTGGCAATATGCATCAAAATTTGAAATGCGCACTTCATGGTAGAAAGTTATCATATGGAGTCAATCTCACAATATACAAGATCACATCAAGAATAATTACTGTTGCACAACAATAAAAAAGGGTGTCAATTAATAAGACAGTACTTAAATCTTTATGATATACCTATACCCTGAAGGATCCCCTCTATGCTCACAGCACTAGAAGCTTTTCCTTCATAATACTTGCTGTAGCTGCAACTAAATTTGTGTGATAAATTAAGCAATACACCTGCCTTACCCATTAAAGCATATGCTCCACAGGGCAGAGTCTGCCTACCTCCCACCACTACGTCCTCAGGGCTTAGCACAGTGCTGGAAAGAACAAGCACTCAATAAACGGGTGTGGAAATGAAAAATCCACCCCAAAATGCCATGTAGCCACAAAAAAAGGGGTAGAACTACATGGCCTAATAAGTAAAGACATTTAATACATTTGTTTAATTAAAAAAGCAGGTAAATACATAGAAGAAGGTCTGGAAGGATACACCCTAAATTTGTCAGTTACCACATATAGAAAAGAGAGTAAAATTAAAAGAAAGGTGAGAAGGACGATTTTCAGTTTGTGCTTCACATATTGGCATAAATGGAAAATCATTTATGGGCCAGCCCGGTAGCGCACTGCTACAGTGCACCGCTTGGGAGTGCGGCGGCGCTCCCGCCGAGGGTTCGGATCCCACATACAGACCGGTTCCCGCTCACTGGCTGAGCGAGGTGTGGGAGCAACACCGAGGGTTGCATCCCGTTGCCGGTCCTGGCCCGGTACGGGCGCGACACTGAGGGCTGCAATCCGTTGCTGGACACGAAAAAAGAAAAAAAAAAAAAAGAAGAAAATCATTTATATTGCATGTATTTGTGTAATATTTCTGTAATTCTAAACATTTAAAAAGCTTTTAATTTTAAAAAGAACAGTTGGACTTCTGGGTGCAGCCCTTTCCAGCTCTTGCCTACCCTACAAGATCCTTTCCAAAAAGAACAGATTGTCGCACTAGGAACATACTCCTTATGGGTCTAAGAGTGGTGTGGAGTACGAGGAGATTGCACACAGGAAAAAGGGAAGATTTCCAAGGATTCTCCAGAGAAGACACCATTTCTTGGTCCTCCCATGGGATCTGTCTGGGTTACCCTACTTTCACCCCACAAACTCCTGTAAGTGATTAACAACATACCTGAGACACAGCCAAGGCTCAAAATACAGCAATAATACATGACCTACTTTTAATGTGTCACAGCTGGAACAGAGCAGGAAGTTCCATAGATGAGAGCTTAAGCTTCAGGATGGATGAAATCTAGTCTTAAAACTCTTTTTTTTTTTTTCCTTTTTGTCTTTTTTCGTGTCTGGCAACAGATCGCAACCCTCAGTGTCGCGCCCGTCCCCCCCCCCCCCCCCCCCCCGGATCGCAAACCTCGGTGCTGCGCCCACACCTCGCTCAGCCAGTGAGCGGGAACCGGTCTGTATGTGGGATCCGAACCCTCGGCGGGAGCGCTGCCACGCTCCCAAGCAGCGCACTGTAGCAGTGCGCCACCGGGCCGGCCCTAGTCTTAAAACTCTTTAAAAAGAATTCTATATGGACTTCATGACAGAAGTATATTTTTAAAAGGAAAATTGCAGTTCCATATGCTAAGATGAATAGTAGTAGTAACTTTTGACGATGTTTAAGAGAAATATGAGTATTTATCATTAAAATAAGAACTTAAAAAAGCAATGTATACATACTTCCAAAGACATTATAGCTACAACATATTGTCCAACATCACTACACAATGGATTGTAGCATATAAATCAATTTTCCAGTTAAAGGAACCTCATTCCATTCTTATAAGAATCAAAACTTTTCCTATGGATAACAAAAAAAAAAATCTTCCTTTGGATAACTATCTTCTGAAAATGTAACTAGGCTGTTTCCTCTCCTCTTAAACAGGAATACATTATATCTAGTGCTCTGTCTCTTGATGACTGAGGGGTTATAACTACAAACAAAAATTGTACTATGGGGCCAGCCGGTTAGGTCACTCGGTTAAAGTGGTGCTGATAACACCAAGGTCAAGGGTTCAGCCAGCCACAAACAACAACAAAAATTGTACTTTGTCATAATATTGTGATGAAGAAGTTTACCTTCATAATAAATGACCCTTTACTGCCATACTTTTAAAATTCTTGTGTCTATTTTTCATGGTTTCTATCTTCTCCCTATCAGGCTATTTCTTTCTTCTAGTCTGTTATTTCTAATCTAGCTTGAGGTAGAAAACACTTGTTTTAGAAACAAGTGTTCCTAAAGTATAATATAATCTGAGGAAAAACTGTCTTTGGAGCATTGTTTTCATTACCTAGAAATTTACATAGTCAAAGTTGCTGGAAACCTCGAGATAAATAAGGTGCTAACTGTAATTCTAATTCACATTTACAACAGAGAATCCCATAAACAGTACATTCAGCAGCAGCCCCTCCAAACCATGGAAATAATTAATAAGCCATCTTGTAGCCAAAGCCAATATGAGCATCTACACAAGGACTACCACGTAGCACAGCTGATAACCATGAAATGGAGCATGAATATACCAGAAGCTCAAGGGACACACCAGCAGAGCAGCAAGAGGACAGGGAAGAGGGAGTGGTCAAGTTTACGGTGGAGCTTGTTCAAAAACAGTGTAGTAAGACAAAAGATATGCTGCCATGATGGATGGACCCTCAAAACTCATAATATAAATAACTGTTCACATTAGGAAGTTTGAATAATTGCCTTAAGAAGTGGGGACTCACGGGAAGACACCTGATCTAGAACAGATACTCCATAAAGCAAGAGCATCAGTCTACTGGGCTACACACGGGGGTAAAGTGTTCCGTGCCCTCAAGCTTCACCTTTTTTTTTCTTGCTCTTCCTTTTCTATTTTGTGGGATGCAACATACGTTGAAAACAGATGGCAACACCTATTCAGGAGTTTGACAAACTCTACCATGGCATCCTCTTTAGACATGTTCCCCAGGGCTGCCCATTCTCTCCTGTAAGGAATAACAAGAAAAGTTACCTCCCCTTCTCAATAAACAAGAGTTTGATTTAATTTAAACTAAATACAAACAATTCTCAATTATAACTAAAATAAAGAATGTTTCTACTAAAAGCAAAAGGCTCACAACTTCACGTTTCAACAGGCATGTACTGACTTACTAAATACACCACATACAATCCGAACTTAATTTAACTGCACTGGTAATTCCTATATAGCAAAAGGATATCAATGTTGTATTTTCCTTACATCATATGTGCCTTTTTGTCACAACTCTCTATATGTCCCAAAAAGGGAATCAATTACTATATATTTTAAATGGCTGCTTTTTGCTGTTATTTAGGAAGAATCACATGAAGTTGCACTTGTCTTATGTTCACAATCAGATGAGTAAACTTCTTCCACAATATTTAGCCATAAACATCTCCAAGCCAAAAACAGATAGAAATGTGAAGACTCCAGAAGCTGCAAGCAAAAATGTTTGTTTCAGTTCTCATTTAAGCTAATGAGCCAGCTATTTACATCTTAACCCAGTCACACTGTACTCTTTTCCAACATTATTCTCATTAAATTCACTACACAATAAAACACTATTACCTCCTGTCATTTCCCAACACATCAAAGAATCCAACCTCAGGACAAGTGTCTGGATTATATGGGCCCATAAGAACCTGCTTATGCAGTGCCACAAGCTTCAGTTTTTCTTCGTAAGTTGGATGGAACGCTTTGCCATCTTTTTCTATAAGACAAAGAAATACAAAGAAAATAATTAGCACTAGCAAAATACATGATTTTCAGGATTATATACTGAAGCTTTGCTAGAAGATATATTACAAACTGCCTGTGATGGATATAAACATAATTATAATGAGATTTTTACTTCAATTACTAAATGTTAATAGTCAGAGCTTAAGACAACAACCCTTTATGCTGAATTATATATTTTTAAATGAAGCCAACTACCAATATTCATGTTAAAGCTACTTGAGAAACCCATCTGTCAAGCTGCAGTCAGGCACACATACACAAGTTTACCAACTGACACCTTTTACACATATTAAAAACAACATGCAACATTTTTAAAAATAGTTAAAAAAAATAATTTTATATTCATCACTTGTAATATAATCATGCATAACAGATTACATATACTTTGAAAGACTGTATTCAAAATGTATCCACCCCACTGAGGCAGTATATTGTGGTAAAAGAGGTTTTGGAAATAGACAGCTGGGTAATAAATCTCATCTCAGTAACTTCCTAGTTGTGGGACTATTTAACCTCACAGTTTATTCATCAGTAAAGTGGGGGTTACACAGCTACTTCAGAAGTAATAGGATATTATAATTAATAGTAACTATTAGATTCTTTGCCTTCCTTCATATTATGGTTGGCACTGGCAGGTTTCCTTCCATATGGGCAATTAAGAGTGAAGCCAGTTTGACCTGTAAAGACTTAACTACCACCAACATTCAAAAGCTGTATGAAACTGGGTGCTGGTAAAATGTGAAATCCTTAGAGAATGGTTTTGCTTCTTTGATAAATGGTAGCATTAATTATTGGTTGAGTCCAATGAGAACAACAAACTACCAATTTTTTTTTTTAAAAAGGGTAGAAAATAGTATATACTCCCTACAAGTTTCATCCATGTATATAGTAGTGACCAAAATAAAATCACTAATGAGTTAGAAGAATATGGGTTAAAAGATATAACACGAAATTCAGAAAAGAAAAAAATACAGACACTGCCAATAAATATCCAAAAATATATTCAAACTTACTAGTCAAGGAAATAGAAAGTGAAACCACTAGATTCCACGACCCCCTCCTCCCATCAGATGACTGGTAAGGGGATCTTAACCCCTGACTTGGTGTTGTCAGCATCACGTTCTCCCAAGTGAGCTGACCGGCCATCCCTATATAGGGATCCGAACCGTTGGCCTCGGTGTTGTCAGAACCACACTCTCCCAAGTGAGCCAAGGGCCAGCCCTCCCATCAGATCAAAAAAAAAGGTGGGAAGAATGTAACAGGTACCCACTCTCATATACTAATGTTGAAAGTATAAATTGTTATTTATATTTATCTTGGAGGACAATTTGGCAATATATTTCAGAATTATAAATGTGCATGCCCTATGATCCAGTAATTCTAATTCTCATTATCTGTTCTTGATAAGCACTCCCAAATATATAGAAGGAGGTGAATACGAGGACATTCATTATAGCACTGTTTTCTTGTTACTGGAAATGACTTAAAAGGTCATCAACAAGGGAACAGCAAAATAATGTGGTAAATTCAGATTGTTGTATACATAAAGCAATTATAGGAAATACTGTTAAGTGAAAAAAGCAAGCTGCAGAAAAGTACATAAAATCAATTCTAAGCAACCCCACCCCCCCAGACATACATTTTAACATCTCTAAAATCAGATTAGGTTTTACAATCTATGGTATTTTACAATTATAAACAGCAGTTTTTCTTTTTTTAATGGCACATTAAGATAATACTCTTCGAAGTGATGAAATACAGCACATTAAATATACCCACATATATATAGTCTACAGGCACATTTATATGAATGTAAACGTAAAGAGAAAGATCTAGAAGGAGTCACACTAAATGAGAAAGAGGGAGAAGGCTAGGATTAGAAGTGGCCACCAAAGAGAATTTAAGCCTTACTTGCAACATTTTTTTTTTTTTTAAAGAGAGCCGGTAAGGGGATTTTAACCATTGGCTTGGTGTTGTCAGCAACACGCTCAGCCAGTGAGCGAACCGGCTATCCCTATACAGGGATCTGAACCCATGGCCTTCGTGTTATCAGCACCGCACTCTCCCGAGCGAGCCATGGGCCTACCTGCAACATTTTAAGGAAAATGGAAGGGTAAGCTAAACGAGAGAGGCACTACTTCTAGAGAAGTGATGGGTAAACTGGGGAGGGGTTTGAAGAGGAGTTTTCCCACTTATAAAGAACAAACTCAAACAATACTTGGAAAAATATTTTTTAAAAAACAGAACTGTGGCACTGACCTTATTTAATAAAAATCAAAACAACTCAGTAACCTGTGGACCTGCCATATATGTCTTTGAGCAGACAAAATCACAATACAATAAGCACCAAGAGCAGGAACTTCCTCTAAAACTCTTAGAATAGGATTATCATAGTTTTATGTTTACCAACTAAAAGGCAATTCTCGTTTCAAAATCCAACTCTCAGAATGCTATTTCAATGATGAACATTATGTAAATTTTTTTATATCCATTCAACTTAAAAATATTCATTGAGTTTGTGTGCAAATCATTGTGTCAGGTGTTAGGAATTCATTGACCTCATGGAACTTGCAAACTACTGAGCTCAATTAAAAATTTGTAATTTGGCAATACAGTAAATGATTGTTTCTCGGTACCTATTTAAAGTAATATACATACTGCAAACAAATTATAATAAAATTATACTGAGATAAAGGAACAGTGATTTTAGAGTTTATTCTGACTTAGAAAAAAAATAAAGGTAATGAAGTAGACTTGTTCCAACTCCTTCAGTTAGGCCAGTAGTTGTGCCTACCTAGTGTATAATAAAAATAAAGCAAAAGGGATTAAGAGTTTATAAAACCAAAATACACCTTTACATTATCGGTTATGTTAAAAACCAACAAGCTTAAAAGACCTGCTCTTCTTTTCATTCTCTTCCCAGTGAAAGCTTATCATAGCAAGAAAAATGTTCACTGTTGCATTATTTAAAATTAAAAAACAGAAAAAAGCCTATTGGACAATAACGCTTTGCTTAAATTACAGTAATACACTGAACAGATTATATAGCTATTAAAATGACAATTGTAAGGCCTTTTATGAGGCTAATTTTAAGGCATATCGGAGAACAGATATATGTCACATTAATTAAAATAAGGAAAATAGAAAATTATATGTTTACAATTATGTAAAAATGCCTGAAATATGACCAAACGCCCAAAGAGAATGTAGAAAGAAAATTTTAATAATTTGAATAACTGGTTACACTTACGGTTCCTTTTTTTTTCCTCTAACTTTTCAACATCTATTTTAATTCTTATATTTATATTGTGGTAAATAATGTCAATCATAAATAGAAAGACCAGACAGAGAGAGAGAGAGAGAGAGAGAGAGAGAGAGATCCTCTAAAGTTCAGCTGAGCATGGTGTCCATGCAATCACTTCATTAGTGCACATTTAATTATCCATCCATGAAAATAAGCCCATCTTAACCATCCACGTATCTGTATAAACCTAAGAGGTATCTGTATAATAGTTTCAGAGGCTAGCAAGTCCAAAGTCCAGGTAACAGATCTGGTGAGGGCCTTCTTTGTTGGTGGCTTAGCATCACAGGGTGTCACATGGTGAAGACGGCAGAGCAGAGAGAGCTCTTACAGATATATATATATATTTTTAAGTGTGATTAAGATTTTTCTTACAAAATTAGCTAGCTAGAACTCCATATTCTAAGATACTGGTTTATTAAAATATGTAAAGCAATAGTGGCTACTATCTATACTTATACTACTTACCAAAAAGTTTTTCTCCATTTTAAAAGTGCCCATACCATCCTTTACTATCTACCTTAATTTTAGATACATTAATCTATGTATTATGCTATTAAGTCACAGATAATTATTAGAGAAACACAGCCCAGAACAATTTCCTTCCGACTTTCACTAAATGATGATTATTTGAAAAACAGCTCCAAATTTAGATGCAAGCCTGCTAGTTGAAAGATTGTTCAGGTTTTTGTTTTACAAAATAAGAAAGGAATCAATCTACATCATTCTGTCTTGAATCTTTTTTTTTTTTTTTTTATAAGATGACTGGTAAGGGGGTCTTAACCCTTGACTTGGTGTTGTCAGCACCATGCTCTCCCAAGTGAGCTAACTGGCCATCCCTTTATACAGATCCGAACCCATGGCCTTGGTGCTATCAGCACCACACTCTCCCAAGTGAGCCAAGGGCCGGCCCCTGTCTTGAATCTTACATGCTGATGATGATTCAAGAAAGAAAAAAAAAAAGGTGTGGCGAACCTGAGAAACAGTGGGGGTAGAGTGTTTTTTCCTTTTTTTTTTTTTAAGTATGAATTCTATAAAATTGGTTGCTTTGACTTAAACAAATGTCAATAAAGACAAAATCAGATGGAAACTTTATTCACTGGAAGATCAAATGCTTTTCTAATTAGTCATGTAATACAGCAATTTTCAAACACGCACACATAAATTTTTTTTTTAATTTGTTTTTTTCCTAAAATCCTGGTTTCACACACACACAAATTCTTTTTTGTTGCAGGGAAATGATTTGAATCTAAGGGATAGGGCTCATGGGCATGAAAAAAAATTTTAATCTATCACTACTATTAAGTTATTTGTGAAATACTGCCACTTATGTTTTACTAATGGAGGGGGGGTCCATTTCCTAATAGATAATAAACTTGCTTCTTTATTTCAAGCATTTGATGCAGGGGACTATGGAAGTAAGTAAACAAGGAAACTGTACCCATGATTTAGCAAGGTGTCAGTCTAACCCTGAGTACTAAAAAGTGACTCATCAGTAGGCAGGGTAAATTTCAGGATTTTGAAATGTTACTTTAATGTTTGTTCTTTTTATGCCTGACAGGATTAAGAACATGCTGTATATCAAAAAAAGTATTTTTAGGGCAGGCCGGTTAGCTCACTTGGTTACAGCGTGGTGCTGATAACATCAAGGGCAAGGGTTCTGATCCCTT